TGAATTTCCTTGTTCATTTTTGTGCTGGCCATCCTCCCCCTTCTGATGAAAGCTCCATGAGAGCCGTGTCCTCGGCAACCAGCACTGTGCCTGGCACATAGTCGGCGCTCAGTGAATATCTGCTGAATGGGCGAACAGATAAATGACTTCCAGGGTGTTTTACATCATTCCCCGAACATGACGTGGTTCCATATTTCCGACTACTTCCTGAATTTATTACAACCACTCTGAATTACAGCAACGTTTTAGAAAATAAAAGCCAGTTATCCCTACTTGGAGTCATATACAAATTTAGTGTTTGGGATCAATTTTAACTAATTCCGGAGTAGCCCCTCCAGAAAACCCTTCTGGCAGCCACAGGGGCTGGTACTATTTTTGCTAGTCTGGTCCCCTCTTCTGAGGAGACATCAGTTCAACTTTGTGGACCTCAGTACAAAAACCAAATCGATAACGAGTAGGCAGTATGGCATAAACTACAAGCTTTGCGAAGCCCAAGGTGGGATCACTGGCAGATCATTCCCTTTATCAGTCTCTCTTATCCTTGGAGAAATACACATCATTCTGACACATCATTCTGCACAAACCCATGGCTGGCTGTCATCCAGTATCCTGTACCCTCTCAATTTGTGACAAACTGACTTTAGGGTGATATGTTCATAGATTTGGGGAAAGAAAACATTTAGTAAAATCCAGGACCAACTCTTTTCATTTTAAACAAATATAAGGAATACACCAGGACTTCTTAAATACCCAGAAATTGCCATTATTCTCCATACATCTATAAATACAAGACTGAAATGCCCTGCCATGACTTTCACACTTTTTTAATGCTGTGGTTTTGTTTAGAATTCATGTTCAGAACTCACTCCCACACACAGAAATGGGGACCCCTGTTTTCTCTGGCAAGAACATCATTTCTTCTGCCCCACCCACAACCATATACCTTGACACTATAAACTGCCCCAAAAGTAGTCCTCAAAAGAAGGTTTTAATTGGAACTAACTATTCACCTTAACATAAAAAACCATGAGAGTCAAGCCTAAATGACCAGGTCATCCATCGTCACTTGACTCTGCACAACCCTGGTGCCCAAATCCTTCCACTGTGCCTTCAAGAACTCAAGGTCATTGTCACTAAAACCCCCTTTACTGTCAGCTCTTCTCCAGATGTTCCCTTCATCTCTGTGCTCTAAGTGAAGCTGGTAGTCCCTGAGTCCTCTCCGGTGGGGACAGGTCCATCTCCCACAATCCATAAATCCTGGGGGTGGGAGAGGTGTCTTCTTTGTTCTCCTTGTCACTTTCGGATGGCTCTTCCTGTTCTCCTTTGAAAAATAAAACCCCAGGCCCTGGTTGGTTGAGCATCATCCCATGCACTGAACTGTTCCGGTGTGATTACTGGTCAGGGCACATGACCGGGTTGTGGGCTTGATCCCAGGTAGGGGGCATGCAGGGGGATGGCTGATCGATGTTTCGCTCTCTCCCTCCCCCTTTCACAAAAATTTAACAAAAATCTAAAATAAACTAAAAAAATTAAACCTTGTTCATGTGAAACACATGCAGTCACTTATGTACCAACCACATGCGGTTGTTACACTATGCAGAGGACTTCTGGTCAGGTTTCCTCACGCGGCGCCTCCTTCCCAGCACAGACAGCACGCCCGTCACTGTGCGCACTCTGCATAACCCTCCATCTCCGTGCCTTCTCTTCCTAGAGGACTCGCGGGAAAACCTGAACCCCAGTTGAATCCACCTCTCTGCCCACAGCGCACCTGCTCCAGGGCTGGAGAGAAAGCACACAGCTGCGCTGGCCGGTCTCCCCCCAGACAGAACCACCAGCCCGAAGCGAGCTGTGCCACTAGCAGGCGGCCCTCATCCATTTCCCTATTAATTTACTCGTCCTCTCCCTGAGGTGTCTGCTTTATATTTTCTCTCCCTCCTCAATTCCACACCTCTTCTTCCACCTCCGTGTCAGCTGACCTTGTTTTATAAGCTCTGAGACGAAGGAGCAGCTCTGCTCCTCTCTCCTCCAAGACTCGGCCCCTGCCAGCACCCTCGCCTCTTATCTTCCTGGTCTCCCCTTCCAGGTCATTCTGGTCATCATCCAAACATGCTGTCACACCTCCCATAGTTTTCAAGTCCCTCTGACCCTATATCCCCCTAAAACAGCCAGGCCACTTTTCAGTCCCACTCTATCACAAATATCTCAGAAGAGTGTCCCCATTTCATTCGGCACTATCGTTCCTCTGACTTCAGGTTGGGAAATCCAGCATCGTCTTTGTGCATTTCCATCCTTCCCTCATCTGTCAGACGACACTGTGGGGTCCACTGTCAAAACGGTGCATATCCACCCCTCCGTGCTGCTTCCCTGGGACCCCTAGTCCAGTCTCTCATGGCACCATGTGAAAATGACAGAAGCAGCTCTCCCATCAGCCCCTCAGCTGCAGTCTCTCACTTGCTAATCCACTCCCATCACACCCCCCAACCCCAGCCTGCCTCACATTGATTTCCCCACGCTCTGCTTCTCTGCTCATAACTACAATGATGTCTGATAGCTCCTATTACCAGGTGCAAGCTCCCTACACGACGAAGTCATTTCATAATTTGGTCCCATCCTGCCTTCCATCTTCATTTCCCATTAACCATCAACATAAAACCTTGCTGTGTTAGACTAGTTTCCCAGGTATCTTACATATAAGTCATGCAAATCTCACTTCCACATTGTATTCTTGTGTCCACACTGCTCCCCTTCCTGGAATCCATCACCATCCAAATTTCAGATTGTTCAGATTCCATTTCCTCCATACCTTCGTACATAATTCCAGGTCACAGTTTTTGGCCTTAACTTCCTACAGCACTTGAAGTCTTTATTGTTATTAATGACTTAAATTATATACAGTACTGTATCTCCACTAATTCTTGCATATGCAATGTGTGCTTGAATATAAGTAGAGCTCTTTCTTCAAAACTGTTTCTCAGAAAAGGGAAATCCCCTAATACTGACAGCTTACAACACTCAAATACTGCGGGGTGCTTTATTTTGAAAAGCAAAGTAATATTTGTACGAGATACATTAACCTTAAGTGACCTCAGCCAATCCTATTTCTGGATTATATAGAAGCCATCTGACAGAATGTGTTAACAAGGGGAAAAAGGTACAGAAATTTAATCAGCTGCAGTAATTATTCCTGCGAGAATGATCTAAGCACTGGAAGTGCTGCATATCGTAAACAGCCTTTTTGGAATCACTTTAAAAATCAATGCAGTTAATCTCCACATCGTAAAGATCATAAATATACACCTAACTAATTAAAAATGCAACAGTCCCAGTTTTATGTGAAAAGATACTGTGTCTTAGAACAAAACTTCTGGTAACACAGACTCAAAGACTCAGATGTGGGGAAGAGGGTGTGTGCACAAGGGTGTCGAATGACCTGGAAGGCAGCCTCAGGGAAGATAGTGACAATGTTGCACTGGAAACATTTCAATAGCACGCTTTCATGAAATGTAAGAATGGCAAAAAGCAATCATCTAAATTGTACTATTTTATACAATGTGGTTTTAAATATGTATGAGGAACTAAATTTATTATTTAAACAGACATTTGACCACTGCATCTACATCCCTGAACTTATATGCTGAAGTTGTTAAAATCTTTTCTTGGCAGAAAATAGGGGTGGAGATAGGGGTGAGCAAAGAGCCAGGAGGCAGTTAGAAATGAGTCAGTTAACTGGCTGTGTTGTCTATGTCATGATGTGACTGAAAAAACTTTACATGGTTAGTCCTAGGCTGGTTAGTGACCATGGTGGGGAGCTCAGCCTTCCAACTTTCAAATTCAAGGACCAGACTAAATGTTATCTAAGACTCTGTGGTTCCAAGATTTTACGTCTACTGTTTTCTACTATATTCTCTCTCTCTTTAAAAATTTATCTTTACTGTTCAAGTATTACAAATGTTCCTCCACTGACCACCCCCCTCCCCCCCTCCCCCCCACCCCACCCCCCACATTGTTGTCTGTGTCCACTGTTTATGCACAGAAGTTCTTTGGCTTATCACTTGCAGCATGGTAAATACAAAGGGATGCTATTTTAAAGCCTATTATAAAATTCTTATTCTTTATTACCATTTAACATGACTTGGAAACAGTGCAATTCAAAACTTCATTCCTGCTCTACTGCCCTTATGAGTTTGATTTTGGACCTTGAAAATCCTTGGTGTTGCATTTCAGAATGGCATCACTTTAGAGAGAAAAGGTATATTTAAGGGTGTCTCGCTCATTCAGTCCTCTCTTTCCCCAGAGGAATCTGGAGCAGAGAGTGTTCAGGGACCAGCTGAGACCCCAGCCCAGGCCCCACCCTTTGTTAATCCTGCCATGACACCAAGTTATGGGTATGCCACTTGTGATTACTGTAGTTATGAATCATGTTTTCAGGTCCTCAATCTCTTTTCTAGGGTTTATGCCTGAATGCACAAAAGTTATGAGCCATATTAGTATAATTTTCTTGTTATTTTAAAGTGATTCCTGACTTCATTCTAGAAGTGAAGTACCCAGTGATTCATCCACACCTATGTAATTTTGCCCCATGGCAAAACCAACCTGAGCCTTCAATTATCATCACACAATTTCCCCACCTCGTCTACAGAGATAGACTTTCTTGCCAGAGGAGCCACACTTCTCATTAGTACTCTCCTCGTGGAGCACCTTCCTGTGGGGAAACCAAGCGGGTGGCCTGGCGACAACAGCTGCTGACCGTCAGCTCGCCCCCCGTGAAGAATCTCTGCGCGGAGGCAACCTGGGGAGCAGCGCCGAGGCCCTGCTCATGCCGCCACAGCCTCGGAAAGCGCACACTCCGTCACCTCCGCACCGGGCAACGGGACGCGTCTTGTCTGGGATTCTAAAAGCTATCCCTCTCTGCAAGCTTGTCTTTGCCTGTTCCGGTGCCAATACTGTCACTGCTCCGGTTCCATGAGGCTAAGCTCGCGACTGTGAAAATTAGTACGTACCCTGAATCCTCTTCAAAGCTGAAAGGCACATGTCCTTCCTCGGAAACTCGAAGGGATTGTTGCAGGTCCGAATGGTGACGCATTCACATTTCCCATTGATGATATTGCAGCCAGAAACAAGGTTTTCTTTACATGGTTCGAAACCAAGCAGTTGGTCATCATCCCAGTTTTCATCTGTAAAACAATTAAGAACCACACAATGTTTGCTTGTTAGCTTCATTCAAAGAAAAGGCCTGCTGAAAAGCAAAACTGTGCGAGGCGGTCAAGGTTATCATCCGACTTTGACACCTCGATTTATGAAAGGCAGTTTGGCTGCAATTTTACACATCAATGAAACCCAACCCCCTGATAACTGAGGAGACAGAAATATAGCCACACCTGTACACAAATGTTTGTGAGCAAAACCATGACTTTTCTTATGTGTTATTATAATACAATTGAGATTCCTTTAAACATTTTTAACTTTAAACACAGGCTCTTGGATTTTCCCATATTCAATCAAATTATGGGAGGTCACATTCGTCAATCGACAAGATTATTCCCTAAAAGCCCGCAACTTTTACTCCAGCTGGTAGAGACCACCCGGGGGTTTAAAATGGCTCTCCAGCTTAATACAAGGCTGCAAACAAAGCCTCAAAATTGGAGCAGAGTCGAGAACAGGACACGATGGCGGAGATCCCCTCCCGTGCATTTCAGTGAAGATGGGAACATCCCCCACTGATCACAACCGAAGCCAGAACAACCACAGCACGGGGGCTACGGCCTGGTGAGAGGCGGAGGCGGTCAGATTCCGAAGTCAAGCCCAAATCAACGTCCTGGGCCCGGAATGAAGCGGACGGGGAGAAGCCGACTCTTAAAACCAGCTTCCGCGGGACCCAGCTCACACCAATGTCACACACAAACGGGCCGTCGACAGACTCAGTCCTTAATAATAGTCCTCAGGGGGGAAACACCTTGTCCAGAAAACCAGATTATTTCTCTATGAATCCCTGGGATGTTATGGAGGTCCCCCCACCACCTCTCGATGTTATCTTTAATAGATACCTTATCACACCTTAACTGGGGACTAGCTGTTAAGCCACATGTTTCTGATACTATATCTGAAGAGAATTTTTAAAAGTGCTTGAATTTAAGATGCCTTACACCTGCTGCTCAAACAAAGGCAGGTAGAAAGCCATCTTGAGAATGTGTGTTCTGGAAGCCGGTGAAAATGAACGGCTATGGTATTCGTGGGGCTTTTACTTCTTACTAACTGTGTAAGTTAGGCAAAAGACCGGTTCCCTTCACCGAAATAAAGAATTTTCTTGTCAAAGGGTTCTTTGGAAGGATATCACTTACAATATGAAGAGCTGCAGCTTTATTCTATGAAAAGAGGGAATGGAAAACCTCCTGTGTTTTAATTTCAGATCAAGCTCACCTAAGATCAAAATCTTAGCTCTTAGGAAAATGATTTTAGAAGTTTAAACAAAACCACAATTTATCTATTTTAATATTTGTCTTCCTATGTATTTGTTCTTTAGACATGACACGTATATATAGCATATACAAACAAAGGTATATTCCTATCAAGACAACAGTGATAATACTAAATTACTCTGAAAAGAAAATATTGAAACAATTCAATACAGAAAAGTGGGTGATAATCTTCAGGTCTAATATATAACAAAACAGCACATGTAAATGCGTCCTTATTGCTATGCTGAATTGTCGACATGCTAGGAGTACCACCAGCCTCATCCAGTTCGGTGCAATTTGCCATGAATGAATTCCTGTGACCGTATATTTAAATTTGTAAGTCAAATAGCGTTCAACCCTAGGAACTTAAAAACTTTTAAGAAATTCAAGTAACATTTGAACCACTGAAAAACTATTATTTCTCCTCTTTCCCCCAGTCTGAGAAAAAAGTTTTTATTACGACTTTTATAAATATGTGCAATTAACATATCACCAAACAGTGGATTCTGATGCAGACTGTCCTTCCACAGTCCACGCCCCTCCCTCCGTTATAACGGACCCCCCGAGGCAGCCCCTCCTGAACTACGCCGCCGCGACCCACACTCCGGCACAGTTCTCAGTTCTCGTGCCTCCACGGCCCACGCTGTCTGCCGTCACTGTCACCTTTCTCCTGACACAAACCTACTCAGCGGCTGTCTCTTGCCAACAAGAAAAGGTCCAAACTTCTTACTGAATAAGAATGAAAATGTAAGGTTCTTCACGAAATGTACGCACTTCTAAGGACTCCTCTTTCACTAATCCCTCCCACGCCCTCACGCTCCCCGGGCACTGAGATCCCCGGGCACGCCTCCGCTCGTGGAGGGTCACCTGCCTGGACACCCCCTTCCCTCCGCCCTCTGGTACCACCTATTCACCCTTCAAGACCCAGTTCAAATGACACCTCTTTTGAGAACTCTTCGCCCACTGTGAGCAGCTCCATCCTCCATGCACCTGCCAACACCTGCCCAGGCCGTTTGCCCCATGGGAATGATTCTTACATGAAGTCAAATCGCCCCTCTCGATAGAGTCCTCACCGACAGAGCCAGGTCTTCCCCAACGCTGAAGCCCCGTAACCCGAGGATTTGGTACAGTGTTCAATACCTACCTACCTAAATGTTCACCTACCTATCTAAATGTTCCTGTCGCTGGTACGATCAACGCTGTAGTCTGTGCTTTTTTTAAACAAAATATTCAAAAAATGTTGATCTATATGACATCACAAGGAAAACTATGTTTCAATATAAAGAATATGTTTGCACAGTAAAAACCTGATGTAAGAAGCCTACCAGAAAAGCGTTAACAAGGCTCACATTTGAGAGAACACGTGGACGTGCCCTGGCACCTTTCTCAAAGAAATCATCTCTCATCAGTCTCTCCCCCGGCGCGGCGCGAAGGCTCCAGCCTCTCATCACCTGGCTGGCATCAGGAGCCCTCCCGGGAGTCCACCTCGGGGCCAACTTGTTTCCAATCCAGATGCTTCCTCTGTCTCCCGCAGGAAGGCCCTTTTTCCTGAGTGTGGAATCAGAATGAAAAGGCAAGGGCCCCGAGTTCTCTCCCTGGCTCCTCAGAGCTGAGAGCAAAGCCTCCTGGCAGGAGCGACGGGCTGTCCGAAGAGGCACAGGTGAGCCTGCCGGCCCCTGGGAAACGTCACGGCCACCGTGTCCAGCCAGGAAGCAGCCGGCGCCGAGGCCAATCATGTCCGCTATGCTTTCACTGTCTTTTTGGAGAGGAACCTTTTCCATTCTATGTCCCCATCCTAATCAATACTTTGTTTTTCTTCTTGGAAAATAGTTCCCTTGGCAACCACCACTTCATAGGATCAAATACAACATGCTTCTGAGACAAACGCTTTTATGTTTTTCTATTATAGGACATTACACTTTAAAAATCACTTAGCAGCCAACTCACAGAGATTTAAAGCAACAATGCAGTGAGCTTTGATTACAGAAATCAGAGCTGAGCCCAATCGTGCTGCGGACGACCCCTGGGAAACCTGTTTTAAAATCTCATTTTTCCTAAGTGAGTCCATAAACGCAGCATATGCATCAAGGTCCAGTTCTCTGACACAGTCCCTGGTTTCTCCCTGGGCCGGGGGGCAGGGAGGCGGCAGGAGTGGAAAACAGGAGGACTGCACGTCCAGTGGTTCCTGCCAGGTACTCCATGTGACAAGGGTCCTCCGAGGCCGAAAGGTCAGGACGACTGCAATAACCGGTCGATGTGTTTTGAAGTGGGCTAGTCCCACAAGACAACCACATCAGGATGGTATTTTTTTCTCAACTTAAAACGAGACAAACCTAGTAACTTCATGTATGAATGAACAGCCATGCATGTTCCAAGATGTGGACTCCCATGTGTGAGCACTACAGTGACAAGTCAGGGATACCTGGCTGCTAACCCCAAATCGCCGTGTGGACGTTTGGAGGACATCTCGAACTCGGATGCTTTTCCTTGAGACTTTCTCTGGGCTTCAGGTGCTACAGCGTCTCACCCCATGGAACAGTCTAAGATGTGTCATCAAGGGCTGAAATTTAACAACTTGTACTGCTTTAATCAAAGGAATTCTTAAGGGAAGGTGATTTTTTAAAGTTGTTTATTATTTTGTCATTAGGATTTACTGAAAGTGCACGGTGGTGACAAAGGCAAAGACTGCCTGGCAGAGTTTGGTGCCACAGCTTCTACACATACTAAGATGCCAGCCGTTTTACCACCACTGCTTTGTCACCGCCTGTGCAAGTGTATACAGAATAGAAGCAAGGAACACTCATATGTCTATGAAGCAGTTTGACCTCATATACTTGGGCTCCCAGGGTTCTGTGGCCCACACTTTGAGAGATGCTGTTCCAGAACAAGAGCATGTCCTGCTGGTATACCTGGGCCAACATAAATAAGACACTCTGGTACCTCCTCTCCGAACAGTTACCACTGAACCATAAACACGCATGATTTTTTAAGGTGATTTAGCTGATACATAACTGGTAAATAGGAAAGTAAAGTCAGGATAATGCAGAAGTTGGTGTTGGTCCATACATGACATTTCTCATAATTAAAGGAAAGGTCTTAGCAATAAATGATCACCTTAAGAAAAGGCTGATAAGCTTGTTTAAATTCCTTCCTTTAATGTAAGAAATGGCTGCTCCAGTGGCTGAACTTTCCACTACATTAAACTGTCCAGGGAGGTTGCAAGCAGAAATAAAAAACCTACAGACATTTTCCTCTGTATTTAAAAACCATGAGGAAGAAACTACCCTTGGATCTTATGTTTAATTCAGATGAAATTAGTCTCCATTAAAAGCAAATGTCTTCAAGGCTCCGTGCCCTGAAGGAAGCAGCAGGAGCTCAGGAGTGGGTTGGACTGCCAAGGGTGGGCTACCCAAGCTCCAGGTGCAAATGTCATGTGTGGCTTACCTGGGGCAGTATTTCTATTTGGATTCTTATTAGTTATATGTATCTTCTGTGTACACAGTTCCACAGGTTTTGACTGACCTGCCCCTAACCCTATTTTTCTTAGCAGCTGTATTTTTAGCCTAGTGAATGATTTTGCAGAACGCGCTTTTAAGAGTGCTTGCGTGGTGCGAAGCACAAACACCTGTGCGTCCCACAGGCAGTCAGTCCTGACCTGGACTGGATCTGGGTGCCAGAGTACGTTCCAACATTCATGACAATGCCTGACATTTCCTCCT